CGAGTTCAGAGGCTCTTGCCCGGGGCTTTGGGGTAAACCCCTGTCGCAGTCAGAAACAAGTAGCATTCTCTGCAGGCTTGGACTGAGTGCCTTGCCTGTCACCACCGATCCTCTAATCCCCCAGATTCCCATCTAGGTGGTAACTGCAACAGGTGAAAAGGGGGAATCTTCCCAAAAAAGTAAGATAAATAACGCAAAATTAAAACACAGAGTTTGAAGAAACAGACTTTTTTTTTTTTTGAGACAGGGTCTCACTATGTAGTTCAGGCTAGCTTTGAATTCACTATGTAGCCCAGGCTGGCCTTGAACTCATGGGGATCCTCCTGCCTCAGCCTCCTGAGTAATGGGATTACAGACATGCACCACCAGGCCCTGATGAAGAAGCAGACTTTCAACTGCACCTGGAGCAGAGATACTCACCTCTGACCCCAGGACTGACTCAGGATTTGTCCATCGGACTCCCACATAGTCCAGGAAGGATCCACATCACCCCGAAGCCCTTCTCTGGGGCTGCCGGCTCTGGCTGTTCCTTTCTATTCCATGCGTCTGGGATTGAATATAAATCCACACAACTAGGAAGCCTCCCTTGCAAATGGCTGAGTCTTCACTGTCAGTTTCCCCTTTGCTCCTTGTTAACACTTGACACCCATCCCCCAAATCTACATCAGGACAACCGACCAGAATCATGATGCAGTGCATGCGAAGCACAGGGACCCCGCTGCCTCCCAGCAGAAAACCACTGCCTATAGGACAGCGTCCTACCAGAGGAAGCCAGAGTACAAGACAGAAGTATGGGTACCCAGAGCCTGGGCAACACCAAGCTCTTCTGAGTAGAGGAAGCAGGGAACTCTCCCCAGCAAGATGGGAAGAAAGGCTGGCCAGTGAGAGAATACCCTGTCTCAAAAAGAGCAAAAAAAAAAAATGGCCAGGCGTGGTGGCGCACACCTGTAATCCCAGCACTCGAGAGGCTGAGGCAGGAGGCAGGAGGATCATTGCGAGCTGGAGACTAGCCTGGGCTACAAAGTGAGCTCAAGGCCAGCCTGAACTACATAGCAAGACCCTGTCTCAAAACTACCGGAAAAAAAAAAAAAAAGAGAGAGACAGAGAACTCACATCAGGCACAGTGTGCCTAGGATGTACCTAAACCAAGTTCCTAAATGTCTATTTGGGGAGCCATGAGAGACAGTTAACAGTTGCTAAGCAGGAGATGGCCCAATTCAAGCAACTCTTTAAAAACTGTAGCAGAAGGATGGATGGGTGAGCAGCTGAGAACCAGGATGAGGAGGTTGCAGCAGGACAGGGCATCTCTCTCCTCCAAGCCAGTGTGGAGTCCGGAGGAGAAGTTTCACTGTTAAGGATGTTCTCTGTGGGCTCTGGGGAAGGGAGAAGGACATGGAAGGGAGAATCCTTAACACCTGACCAGCTCTGTAGAAGAGTACGGAGCACCACACACACACACACACACACACACACACACACACACAGACTTAACACACAGGTGGTAAGAGACATAAGTATCAGTAATGACACCCCAACTCCAATCGTGCTAGGCAGCAGGAGAAAGTGGTGCGGACACACACAGGAGAAGGGCTGGCTTGTGGGAAACAAGGCATATGAAGACCAGGCAGCCCCACTAAGCCTAGGGGCAGAGTCCCTGGTGACAGGGACCCTCCTGGAGGCAGGTGCTCCTTTCTGGCCTCAAAGTCCAGCCCAGGTCTGCTCACCAGTCAGCAGGGACAGAAGCAGATAGGGAAGATCATCTCCCCAAGGACGGCCTCTGAAACTGAGGAAGCACATGGGCTAGGGGAGTATCCAGGCCCAGAAGACCAGAGTGCTCAGAGGGTCCGGAGAGAAACACATGGAACTTTAGTCACTAAGGCTTCTCCGGGTGTGTGGAAGAAGTGAGTTCATTCTGCAGGAGATCAGAGGCCTGGTGCCCACAGAGTCTGAGAGTAGAAGCAATCAGCCATAGAGCTGGAAAGGAGCCAGACCACGAGGGACCCAGAAGCAGCCTGTGGGGCTGCCAAGCTGTCCTTGAAGTGCTCTTGTAAACTCTTTTTTTTTTTTTTTTTTTTTTGACAGGGTCTCGCTATGTGGTTCAGGCTGGCCTTGAGCTCACTTTGTAGCCCAGGCTGGACTCAAACTTGCAACAATCCTCCTGCCTCAGCCTCCCGAGTGCTGGGATTACAGGCGTGCAACACCATGCCCAGCTCCTGTAAATTCTTTCAGAAACAGAAGAACCAGAAGCTGAAGAAAGAGGTGCGGACAGAGGAGGGTTCTTTTAAGAAAAGGGAGACATGGGCCAGGGATATAGCTCAGTAGCACAGCACCTGCCTGGCAAGCACAAGGTCCTGAGTTCAAATCCCAGTACAAATTTAAAAACCTAATTAGAATAAAAAGGGGATATAAGCACAGAAAAGAGAGAAAATCAAGATGGAACAGGTACATGGGTAACTCTGTAGAAGGGCAGAAGATGAGATGAGAAAGAGGTCTTGCAGCCACTGTCAGAGCTGGAGGAGAGAATGAAGGAGATGGAGAAGAGCAGAAACCACTGGGACACCCGGCAGGCTTCTGCCAAGGTCCCTGTGTCCTCGCCACCAGCAAAGAGGCGGGGTCCTTGCTGGAAATTAGATAAGAAGGCTGGGGAGAGTTGTGTGGGAAGCAGGCAGCAGCTTTGGGGAGTTTTCGAGAGCCTAGCTTCTCCAGCAGCTCATGTACACAGATCACCTCGGATCTTGTTCCAGTGCACATTCTGATGTGGTGGCTCTGGGTAGCACCTAAGATTCTATATTTCTAACAAGCTCCCAGGTAAGGTCAATGCTGCCTGCCCAAGGGCCACAGGACCAAGGTGACAAAGTTACCTAAAAAGATGGAGATAGGGATTCAGCTAAGAACTCATCCTATGGCGAAGCATGGTGATTCATGCCTGTAATCCCAGTACTGGGGAGGCTGAGGCAGGAGGATCTCTGTGAGCTCTCTGCCAGCCTGGGCTATGTAAATGAGTTCAAGGCCAGCCTTTGGGGATCCCATCTAGGATATCAGCTACCACTTTGAGAAATCCGGGTGGAAGTGGCAGTGTCCCTGCAGGTGATGGGGAGGGGACACAAAAAAGGGACAGAAAAGACATCAGGAGATGAGGAGGGGGACCTCTGGATGGTAGGAGGTACAGCAGTGCTCCCTGGGACCCTTCATCTGGGTCAGTATTCTGCTGAAGAGTAACTTCACACTTAGCACCCCTCAAAAAGAAGCCAGGAATCGGCTGGGACAAGAAAGTGATGCTGTGAGCTCTCTGTGAGCTAGTGCCCCACCAGGCCACCCGCTGCTGCTCTGCAGGAAAAAAAGTGCTAGTCTGATTCAAGCTTGGCTCCTTCACAGCCTGGGCAGGAAGCCCCAGGCCAGAAGGTGGGGAGAGGAGTAGAAATGCCCTGACCCCGGGGGCCAGGGGTCAGATGTCTTGTGTGCCAGGAACCAGTAAAGAGTGGAGTCTGAGGGGAGGTGGCTGGGGAGAAGGACGAGGAGAAGCTGGGCTCTGCACCCGTGTTCGATGTACCATCAGCACTCAAGTAGTTGCTCAAAGGCACTGCTTTCAGCTCAGGCAACCCTAACCAGAGGGGATGGAGGTGCAGAAAGCCGCTCGGTTTTTCTGGGGTCCCTAACAGCAAGAGAGGTGTTTGAGTTCTTGGCGGGCAAAGGTTAAACTGAGGTCAGCCTGGCTGGAGCAAGCGCAGAGCGGACTGCCCCAGAGGGTGAAAACCCAGAGTAAAGCAAGGAGGCGTCAAAATGAGCAGCAGGTCCCGGAGCTGAGCTTCTGGAGCGCACAGAACTGCGTACTTGGGGGCGGGAGATGAGGCCGCAGAGATGCTGGGGCTTAGTCCTGCGGCGACGGGAAGACCGTGGAGGTTCCTCGGCGCGGCGCTACATGCCCCTCGGCCTCGGCCGGTTCCCCCGCGGTGCAGCCCGGGATCCATCCTGCCTCGGCTCTCCGGCTCGCGCCAATCAGGCCCGCTCCCTGCCGCGGCCTCCGCAGCCCACTACCCCGGGCCCGGCCACTGGCTCGCAGGGTCC